TGCAGGAAGCCCCAAATGTCAGTCCAATGTCATTGGCTGCTCAATGTCAATTGGCTGTCAATGTCAATGTCATTGTCAGTCCAAATGTCAGTCCAAAAAGGTCCAGTCCAAATGTCATTGGCTGCTCTCGTAGGCAATGTGTCATTATTGCAGCAGTAGTTCATCCAAGGGATTACAGCATTACCCTATTTGTTTGTATGTTTGCTTCTTCATTTTGGTATTGTATGTGTGAATGTGTTCACATGCCAGGACACACATATGGAGGTCAGAAGACTTTTATTTTTTGAGTCAGTTCTCTCCTTCGACCCTTCAAGTGGCTTCCAGGGATTGAAGTCAAGTCGTCATGGCTTGTGTAGCAAATGCCTTTGAATGCCAAACCACTTCATAATAATATCCAAAGGATTATTTAAATGGTAAATATTTTATTCACTGTCCAGGGTTAGAAATATCTTAGAGTATAATGGTTTTAAATACAAGATCAAAAAAAATTATGAAGTTCCTATGTGTGCCAGATTTCAGCCTCTGTAGTATGTGTCAGGGAATTTTAAGGTACCATCAACCTGAACTCCCTGGTCAATGATGTGGCTGTGGTTGGAGGAGAGAGGAAGTTCCTGTGGACTGAGGGATGGAAGGGAGATTGTCTATTGTGGGACAGCCTTTCCAATTTTACCTTCTCTGCCCTTCAAGCCTATCACATAGTTCCCAGTCACCCCCATTTCACTAATCATTCCAAAACCAGGGACAAGCCATATGACACTCTATCTCCATGTGTTTAAGGACTGCAGGATTTTAGCCCTGCAATGTTTGGTGAGAATGGAACATGCGGAGCAGAGGACTTGTCAACAAGGTCTCAGTGACACCAAGTCGTGTCCCAGAATGGATCACAGTCCAGGGAACTCGGCCGTTCTTCTACCAATTTTTGCTGCCTGTTGGTTCTATAAGAGCTTCCAAATCCTCTCCTCTCTCCTCCTACTTAAGTATTTTCTTTCTCCGCTGAGGAAGGAGCTGTGAAAGATCGCCACTTATATTTGAATTCTTAGTGTGACATAGGATGTGTTCTTCTGGGTCACGTTCATGGAAGGGGGAGTGGGGTATTAGTGAGTGGCTAGCTGCACTTGAATCATAGAATTCCCACTTTACCTGTTTGCCCCTCCCACAGTCTTTCACTAATTTGTTCAGATAGCTTTGTCCCCTCTCTCTGCCTCTGTTGGGGCTACTTTGATATGTGTCATTTGCATCAAGAACAAGGTATGTGATTTGTAGATTGGCAGTCCAAAATGAAGTTGTTCAATTAATACCACCATTTTCCTGAAATCAACTTGAAGTTTTCATCATCTTGTTGATTGGGCGATAAATGACAAGATATACACACTGCTTATTAAAGCATATACTGGAGTATTAACTTCTAGGAACTCAATATGTGACTTCATTTGGATCCAGGTTCTCTATAGTCATAATCACATTAAAAGGAGGTCATCAGATAGGAATAGTCTCCTTATAACAAAGGGAGAATGTAGACACAGACATCCATACAAGCAGAATGTCCTGTGAGGATGAAGGCACAGAGAAATTGGAACAAAGTTTCTGTAAATCTTATGCAAAAGATAGTGACTTTAAAAGAGCCAGATACTGGGCAAAGAACAGAACAGTTCTTTTTTAGAGGGACTGCCTCAGAGGGAAACAATCCTGATAATGTATTATTCTACAAAAGTGTGAGGGCATACACTTCTGTCATTGAAAGCAGCCTGTTTGTGAGACTTTAGCCCTTGAAAACTGGTCCACGAGGATGGACACATTATTGACGGGAGCTTGATGGCTAGGAGAAAATGGTTTCCTAAAGTGTTGCCACTCACGTGAGAAGCCTTGGGGTACCTGGAAATTGTTGCTGAGTGCCTGTCTCCAGGCACTTACATATTCTTCCACAATTCAAACTTAAGATAGAAATTTCCTTCTTTGGTGTCTATTATGAGACACAGCTCTCTTTGCTGGGCAGAGAACTCCGGAGCTCTGGGGCCAATTTTCCACCTCATAGAATCCCCCAAGATTAGGAATTACAAGGAGCCTGAATACAGTCAGGAAATAGAGGGTGAAACACAAGTCAATGTTTCCGAACGTTTCCTCCCAATGAGAACTTGGATTGCTCTGTTCTTCCTGCATGAGGGTAGGGACCATAGTAAGTCCAAATGCATAAATCATTTTGCATAAGCATGTCTTTTTATTCTGATGCTTTGATATTTGGGGTCTTGCTATCCCTAGAAAGATTGTGCCCCTCCCCCAGACTAACCAGTTCCTTGGATAGGAAATGTCTTGCTTGTAAGTCCACTCTAAGCAAAGCAGTAACTCTAGATAGCAAACCCTAACTTCCTCCTTTACTGAGCTTCCAGGAGTGCCATGCCCCTATCTGCCTGGCCTAGTCATGCAAGGGCCAGGTAACAGGCATCCTGTAAGAGTTCAGCATTCTAGAGACCACTGAAATCACACAAACTGGACAGTGCCCAACCTGCTTACCTGGCCTCATCTTATTTTTTCTCATAAAAATCCCAGAGTATTGTCCATGAACTCTAGACTCACAGCTGTGGAGCCTCCATGGGTCTGAAGTAGGCCCTCCATGTGTGGGAGACAGTGGTGAAGTTGGACTATCTGAGGGGCCTCTGACAGTAGGTTCACGATCTATATCTGGTGCATGAGTTAGCTTGTTGGAATCCATTCCCTATGGTGGGATGCCATGCTCAACCTTAATTCAGGGGGCAGGGGCTTGTTGCCTCCCCAACTTAATGTGCCAGACTTTGTTGACTCCCCAGCTGAGTCCTTACCCATGGGCAGGTGGGCTGGGGGGAAGGCGGGAGGGGTGGGAGGGAGAACCATGGCTGGAATGTAAAATGAAATTAGAAAGAAAGAAAAGAAAAGAAAGAAAGAAAAATTCCAGTGTAGGATCCTGCTCACATCTCCCCTGGTTTGCTCTCTCTGCCTCCTGATTGGCCCTGTAGCTTCTTTGACTCATCTTTGATGGACCCTCCTTTCTGGGAACTCTGAATCATAAGTTGCCTTTTCTTTCTTTTTACAATTAAAATATTTCTTTAAACAATTTTTATATTTATGAGTATTTTACTTGCATGTGTGTTGATGTACGACATGTATGCAGTGTCTCAGAAGTCAGAAGTCAGTGGCTCCCTTGGAACTGTAGTTCCAGACTGTTGTGAGCAGCCAGATCAAACCTGGCTTCTCTGAGACATCTCTACAGCTCTGCAGATTTCCTTTTCAATGATATAACAACCACCCAATCTCTTGACCTTCCCGTTCCTGAATAATAGCAAAACCTATATTTTAAAATGCAAATATCCACAAAAACTGTGTTGTAAGGTAAAGTGTGAAAACACACACCTTTAATTCTAGTGGGAGGCAGATACAGATAGAACTCTGTGAGGGCAGCCTGGTCTACATAGTGAGTTCCAAGACAACCAGGGCTTCTCAACCCCATCTCAACATCCCTCTCTACCTTACTCTCTCCTCCTGCCACCAAAGCAGTAACAAGCAGCAGCAGCAGCAGCAGAAGCAACAACAACAACAACAACAACGACAAGAAAAACCTGTGCTTTAAATGCACAGCTCATATTATTCACCGAGATGGCATTCATAGTGGATCCTGTGTTCCTGATCTTTGCCACTGGCTGTTCTGATGATCTTCAATAAATAAAACTTGTGCTTATGAGCAGACTAAACTGTGAGAGATGTTTGGGATTACAGACATTCTAATTTGGGGAAGTGCAGGCCAGGACTGAGGTCCTTCCAGTTCCCTACTGTAGACTGATAGGACAAATGTAAGCTTGCCTGCACACTTAGTCTGAGTAGCAATAACTAGGAATAAAAATTAAACACAGACTAGATGTCCATCAACAGATGAATGGATAATGAAAATGTGGTGTATTTACACAATGCAGTGTTATTCGACTGTTAAAGAAACCCAAAATTTTGAAATTCACAGGGAAGTGGATGGAGTAAAAACAAAAATCATCCTGAATGAGGTATCCCAGATGCAGAAAGACCAATATGGTATGAATTTGCTCATACATGCATGCTAGCTTTTAAGCTTTAGATAGGCATGCTACAATCCCTAAACCATGAAGGATAGGTATAGGGTAAGGGAATGGGGGTGATCTCTCAAGTAAGGGGAATTAGAGTACATAGTTAAGGTGAGCCAGGAAGAGACTGGGAGGATTAACGGAGGGAGGGAAGGGGTAGGAAAGCGAGGGAATACAGGAGGGACAGATAAGGGCCATTTGATGGGTCATATGGAAACCTGCTACAATAAAAGTTTCTTAAAGTATATATACTTATGAAAGAAATCTAAATGGCCCTTACCTACTCTCCAGGATGGCGTCGAGCAAGAGTCAAAGCGTTTCGTGTGTTCTGGAAATCTCTGGCTTCAGTGGAGCTGCACTACAAACCAAACAACAGCAGCACAGATCCTGAGACGTGATCAGGAAACGGCATCATATATGAGGGCTTTTCATATGAGGGTTTCATTGATTTCACACCTGCTGCAGCTTTCAACAGAATGTACGAAGGGATTGCTTACGGCTCTGCAGGGGGTGGGGGAGAGGGCAGGCTTCCTTTTTTGCAAATGTTGAGAACAGAGCACTTACTTTTGAGAGATATTGGTCCTTCTTTAACTGTATAACATAGCTGAGAGAAAGAACATCTCTTAGAAAAACATTTATCCCCTTACCAAGGTCAAGTCGATTGCATTCTAGTAAGTTATTCGGTCAGAATGCACTCCAAGTCTTTTCTTCAAAAATCACTTTTCACTTAGGGCAGATATGGGAGACACAGAGTTTCTAGTGGAACGATAACCCATCAGTCACTCGAAAAAAGACAACTTTGGAAGCCAGAATCTCCAGGACCTTATTCTTACAGCCCCAGTTATCTGTCCTCTCCACCCACTCCTTGGTTCCCTGTGTGTGAAGAAAAGCACCAGGAGAGACTTTTATTTTCTTGTTCTTCTTTAATTTGTTCAGCATTGAAGGAGGGAAGGTCATAAACATTGATTGTCATTTACAGGAAACATTCAGAAATCATGTGTGCATTATCTGGGAATGCTAACAGTATTCAACTAATAATTTACAGGACATAAAATAAAAACGAACCCCATTACATTCTAAAGCAATATAAAACTCTCTTTAGCTGTTAGGGAGTGCTGCTTTAATCTATTATATTTATAGTTAAAAAAAAATTCAATGCTTACTTCCTAAATGACTCAGGCTGCAGATTTACTCACATACACAGAAATTAGGGGCTTATATATTAAACAAGGAGAGAGAGAGAGAGAGAGAGAGAGAGAGAGAGAGAGAGAGAGAGAGAGAGATCAGAAAATTGTAGATTTAAAAACTACATATACCACTGGGTTTATTGGTCGTTTGCCTTTCGCCTCTACAGGTTGGTAAGAGTATATGGTAATAGCGTAATTCAGCTCCTGAAAAAATCAGTGGTTGACTACAGGAGGCGTTGCTCTCTTTTAAAAAAGGTATACTTAGCTTTTCAGAATGAATGCTTTTATTTTACATACTTGCGGCAATGCAGCACCGGGGCACTGCCAACAGTGGTGTGCATGCTGAGGAGGAGCAAGCTGGCCTTCCTACCCTGCTCCTCCAGGTGCAGCCGCGGAGTAGGCACAGCCACGCCCCAGACAGTCCTTGGCTTCACCTCTGGACTCAGTGGCTCTGCACCGTGTACTGTAGGCTGGAGCTATGGCAGAAGCGTTAAATCTCAGAACACCAGAAGGATAGGAAAATCATTTATCTCAATCCTAAAAGCAAAGAAGCATTGTCAGGGATTTCAAAAATATTGGAAAGTCTCATTTAAATCTAAATATCTTTTTATTTTATAAATCGATCATCATAAAATACTAGCCTTTTAAAGTCATATTCGGGATGCAGGGAAAACATCAGTTCCACTGGCCCTGCTCATGCCTATGTCGTTCCCTTCACCACATTGCAGATCTTTCCTGCCTCTCAGTCTCTTCCCAACCCTCCCCCAGCTTCTTTACAACATTTATTTGGTGGAGGTCAGTTATGGCTTCAGCGAATGAGTGGTCTGACCTCAAGTCATTAATAAGAAATAAACACATACAAAAATATTTTGTTCGTCAGAAAGCAGGGTTTGTTTTTTTCTTAAGCTAGTCCATGCAGAGTGAATGTGGACAGAGCCATTTGCCGTAAGGAAAGACGACGTCACTTAGACAAGGGTCTCTTTTTAAGCGTCCCTTTCTCATATATGCCAGTTTAGCTGGAGTTTGCAGGCCTTAGGCCAATCTTCAGTACGGAATTCTTTGGAGCGGTTAATTGATAGCCCTGTCCCTTTCTTAGTTGTATTACAAAAAGAAGCATATACTTAACACCGATGACCCGTCAAGATGCTTAAACCGTTACAACCGTTTTCCATTTAAAAAACCGAGAGGTACATAACACTCAGAAGGGAAGCAAGTACATATTTTATCTTTGTTGTTTACCCCCCTCTAAAAAATTGTTACAAAGTCTTATGCTTAAACAGAGACATAGAAAAATCAGTGTATTCACCGTCTCTAGATATTTACAGCAAAAATTGCAGAGACAGCATACATTGTATTAGACCTCCCACAAGCATATATTAAAAGTAATTACATTTGAAAAAATATGTTTTTATTTTTCCTCTACATTTCTACAATACATACTCAGTTTTCTGTGGGTGTGGTTTTCACTCTTGGGCGTGTGCTAATGGGATGAAGCAAGTGGTGGTGTGCTCGGGTGTGGGGCTTGTGGCTTTCAGACATTCCTCGTGAGGGTCTATGTACGGCTGTGCTGGCGACGGGGGAGGGGTCCCCATTAGCCACAGCCAGAGCGTAAGTGAGGTGAGCCTCATGCTGTCAACAGGGGTACAAGGCAGCCTGCATTTCCCCTCGCTGGGCTTATTTAATTCCAGTAATCTTTGTGCTTTAGCTTGGGCTGTGAGAACCACCACTGGCCTGACCTCTCTGACCCCCTGGAGGTTGTGCTTTGGTCAGGCAGAAAGCAATGGTTGTTGTGACCAGTTCACCTGCGGGGGGGTGGGGGGTTTCAGCCGCTTAGGGAAAAATGTGCGCAGTCAGACAGTCCCACCTGCTGTGTAGGGACCTGTGACCCGCACTTTAGCACAAGGGGGGCGAGGATATTCCCATGATAGAATAAATTGCTCAGAAATGTCTAACTAAGAGACAGTGAGAAAGTGTCACAGATTTGAAGCCATACATTTAAGGACACATGGACAGGCTCGGAAACATGAAAGTTATACATCTGTCTTTCAGGAAAAAAATGGACAAGAAATCTGGTTCTCTCGGCTCCTTCACGGCGGAACTTGTCAGGACACATGGAAGTGTCTTTTGTAAGCCATCATTCTGCCGATTTGCCTTCATCTTTCGATTGTTATTTTGTTCAAGCCACCTGTTATTATATCTTGAAATAATGATGAGTAAATATTGAAACTAAATTGAGAATGAGAAGGGCAAGATCTCTCCTCTCTCCCTCTGTACTAGCATACTTCCAATGTCACCCTCCGTCAAGTCTGACCTGATTGGTTCTAGCAGGATAGCCTCTAGATCCGATATTTGATATCAACTGGAGGTTGCAAATTGACAGTCTATGAGCCTCTTCTGCTCAGAGATCTATTTGTTTGCTTTGCACTATTCTCAGAGTCAGTTGTCAGCATTTACAACCCGAGACAGCTTATATAATTCAGAAGCACAGTCAGCATGCACCCTCGGCTGAATTGTGGCTGTCCTATCGTAGGTAGGGCATTTCCTTGCCAGCTTAGTATGACTGCAACATTATTTGCATCCACTCCTTGCCACTTTGGGGGTTTTGAGTTTTCAACTGTTGATTTAAACAGGCAGGCATCTCTGGTTCTGAAACATACTTCTCTTGAAAAGAAAAAGTGTTAGCAACCTGTCTCCAAAAGACTCCGTGACTCCCCAGACCAGGCCTTTCTTCTGGCTACGGATGTGCCAGCAGTTGCAAAGAGAACATCAAATATCACTTCTTCATCTTGGTGGCGTTTCCCTCCTCTTAATAAAGGGACTCTGCAGAGGCTTCCCTCAGGCACGTACTTAAGAGCTACTGCTACCATTCAGTGCCTGTCAGAGCTGAGATATCCTTGCCTGAGCCTGCTGCTTTTTGTCGTGATTTCATTAGAAACAATAGTTAAAACACACACACACACACAGAGAGAGAGAGAGAGAGAGAGAGAGAGAGAGAGCCAGGAAAAATGATTTGGACAGCAGCCAACTACTTCCTGCTTCTGGAATGAAGAGAGACTAAGGATGGGAACGACAGTGACATTACTTGTCTCTGGTGGTTTTGAGAAAAAAGAAAACAAAAACAAACAAAAGAAAACAAAAACCAAACAACCAAACAACGGAAACATTTTAGGTTGTTCTTGGGACCTAAGAGTTGTTTTAGATTTGGAACCCCTTACGTGCAGCATTGTGGAGAGCCAGTGAGAACTGGCCATGCATCTTCAAGGCTTTCTCCAAATAGTTAACTTGACTGCTGGGACGTAACCTGCTTGAGAAGGCAGTCATGATGGAAATACACTGATGTCCCCTGATGCCTCTTGTTAATATCCAGTTGGTACACTCTAGAGTCTTCCAGATACTGCCAGAGGAATCCAATCACCTTAAGCCCATAATATTCTCTGCTTTTTACTTAGAGGTCCTTTAGCCCAGAGCCCTGAAGGAAGTATTAAGACAAAGAAAATGTGGAAAGTGTGCCTGGAAAGAATCTCCTGACCTTCAATGTCTAACCTGGGAATAAGAGCACCCCAGAAAACCTGACACAAAGATAGACCAAGCCACAGACAGCGCAGCCATTCATAACTGTCAACCCAGATTCGAAATCTCTGATTCTCCCTCCAAATTTTGCCTTTCTTTTTACAGAGTCCGGATGCCCTGGAATTGTCACCCCCATAGTCTGTCAGCTCTGTCCGTTGACAGTTAGATCTCTGCATTTCTTTTGCTCAGGACTTACACAGGAAGCCTGGATTAATTGGGAGAGAAGCAGGGCAGCTTGGTTGTTTTGTTCTTTGCTCATTTTAGAGACTGAAACTAATGTCTTTACTTGTGTAAAACTTTCAGGCAGGTCCAAAGCAGGGGTGGGGGGGACCATTCATTTTCTGACATGAAGCCATTGTGACTGGTCTGAAGCCTGTTAGAGAGCATCTCTCCCTGGCATGTTCAACTTATGCCACGTAGATTTTATTGTCATTTTCCCGTTTATCCCTTCCACATTCTCAATGAATTTTTTTTTAGTGAAACATCCCTGAGCAGATTCAGTGCAACATCTGCATCAAGCAGTGATTGTCATCCTTGAGGCATGACGGAGACTACAGACCCCAGTTCCTTCTTCCAGTGTATACCTCATCCTAGCACACTGTGAGCCTCGGCCAGGTCTCAGGAGAAGAACAGCTTGCGGAGACTGTGTGTGGTAAGGAGAGTTTTTCTTACTGAAATTTCATGCAGGCACTGAGATGTTCAAAGGGCAGTGTTTAAAGGCTTTCTTACCATTAGAAACATGACTTGATTCTCTTTTAAGGGAAAAGTTGGCAACCGCAGCCAAAACTGGAGCGCTCTCCTTTGGATGGAAAGTGGGTTGTGCCTGGACTGGTCACCACTGTCTGGTTCTGGTTCAGTTCCTAGCTGCTTCCTCTCCCTCTGCTTCAAAGGTTCGTGCTGTCCCAGTGAAATGCTAGCACTAGTGGAAATGACACAATTTCAAAACCAGTACCCCCTGAGGCAAATGTGTGGAGCAATCTTTTTCCTACACCGCCCGTGGGGCAAAGGAGGAAAAAATTCTCAGCTACTTCATCAATTGAGCCGATGAAAATCCTCTAAGGTAAACTGGAGGCAACAAATGATTCCCTTTGCAGCCGAGTGGGATTTACAGGCTGACAATGGGAAACACTGAGCCAACAGAACAGTGAAAACGAAGTTTGACATGAGTTCAAAGCTCAAAGGGGAACGCCAAGTAGACACAGTAAGCCTTGCCTATCACAAGCCAATCATAAAACATACATTGCATTTGGAAGTGGCTTGGTTCAATTGAGTGCCTTCCATTACCCTGTTTTCCTAGCAATCAGAAAAGTATCTTTCCATTAGAAGGAAATATGACTCTTGGAATTAATTCTTTATACAAAGAGCTAGCAAGAGTGACATTTACACCGAAAAGAACTGAGTCCCTGTAGCGGCATAATAAGCGGTCTACAGCTGTCTTCTCAGAACCAAAGGTAATTTGGTTCAATGTAGTTAAATTAATTGAATATAACAGTGGCTGAAAAAGAGATTCATTATTTTAAAGCCTTTTTGTTTTCCCCCAATGGCTTGGAATTCATCAATCATGAGGTGAGAAAAGACTCTGTTTTCTAAAAGGAAAGACTAACAGTACTGTTTAGATCATCCGCCAGAGTTCCGAGGCATCCTGGAGATGACTCTCAACCAAGGACTTTAGGAGAATGTGAGAGATCTAAAACAAAGAAATAAAACAAGCAAAATTCCAAATTTTCTATTAATGGAGATTTACAGAGTAGGTTCATGCGTGCGTGCGTGTGTGTGTGCGCGTGTGTGTGTCCAGGGAGAACAGAGCAGGTTTTTATAAGCTGGGGCCTGTGCCACACATACAGTACATTATAGCTTTTGGTGTCTCATACACAAATGTGTCCCCTAGCTGCTTTTTTGAAAGTCTTAGTTTGGACTAGATCACACTGAAGGCCTAGGCCTTCCAGGAATTGGAAGAACAAATGGCTTCAAGCCCATGCTTTCTGGTACTTAATTTCATAGATGAAGAAACTGTAGAGGTCACCCTTTCATTCTGTTCTTTTAAGTGGCTAAAAACTAACCAGTGTGGACAGAGGAGGTCCTTTAAATCTGTGTAGGAAAGGATTTGGGCTTTGGGATACATCAGTCTCATAGACAAAGCATTTTTTTTCTAATCTTTTGAACTTTTGCTCTATTTTTATTATATAGCATTTTGAAGTTGAAAAAATTGGAGGCCCCAGGCTCTAGACTGCGTTCTCCTTTCTATTAGCATGTTTTCTAACAAATTATAATGAGTATGAATTTAATGAAAACTTCTTTACCTTGCGTGTTCTATTTCTTTCTGTTCTTTGGGAAAAGATAGCTAGACAGGATTTACATAAAATAACACTGGGACCCTGTTTTATACTTCTAGTCTAATATTTCCGAAAACATTGATGGTGGTCATAATCTATAGACTGATTTTTTTTGTTAAAGAAATAATAAGCATCAAAGTTGAATTTCACAATCTGAAATCCAAATCCAAACGGGGGGTGGGGGAATCCCAATATTTTGTATTCCGAATAATAGGAAACATTATTGTCTGGTTTACAGACTGATTTGTGAAACAGGAAAATGATTTCAAATCCTATTGCACCCCCAACCCTATGTGCCATTATGACAGGGCTTTGAAGTCATTGTCAGAAACGGAGCTTTTAGAAAGCAGTTATATGCTACACCGATTCCTTTGTAGATTTGCTTCCGAATGGGTACTATCCTGTTGTTATGTGTGGATGAAAACTCTGGCTGGAAAAAAAAAAAAAACCAAACTCTTGATTGTCTGACATAAAAGTAACACATAACAGAAAGTAAATCACGTGTGAGCCTGACCAGACCTCCATTGCTAGCGGGCATGGCATTTGAAACCACAGTGCATGAATACGTAATAGTCATATATAATACTCTTACATATTATATATTCATTACATACATGCACAGTACTTTCCAAGACAGTTACAGATTTCCACATGCATCAACTATCTAAAAACATAGAAGTAGGTAAATCCTAGTAAGTGGAATTTTCTTAAATTATATTTGAACAATCAGCAGGAAAAGTAGTCATGTGAAGGACGGCTCTGTTCTCGTATATATCTACAATAAAATTCTATAAACAGTTGTCTCCAAAACATACCCGAATAAAATTAAAAAAGATAACACCCAGTGTCCTATATTTGTATATTTATGATCATTTCAAAAACAAACAAACAGACAAAAGAGCCCCACTCAGGTGCATATTTACATTCTTCAAACTGTAGCGGTGAAAAATAATTCTATTAAGTGCAGGACATTCCTAATGTTGCAGTAGTGACCTTTCTCTTAAGTCTCCATGAACACATTGTTTTTGTCTTAACGGCGATGCATTCCATGACTCTGAGAGTTCTCAGCCCCTTCATTTGCAGACCGCAGCACAGTCAGGATTAAAGAGCTCCTTGTACAATGGAGGAAACAGTGTATTCACTATGTCTGGATGAGATTGCTTAAATACCTGCAGCTTCTCCCCATGCAAGTTGCAGACTGCTGTGATAGTTGGTATCTTGGCTATTAACTGCAGAATACAGAGACAAAGGGAGACAAAGAGGGAAGCTCGTTAGTGGACTGTCTTGTGAATTAGTGGCTTTCGGGGGACCTGGATAAAGGTAAATGGCTCTGGAAAAAGATGTGCGGAAAGAAAGAAGGCTCACTTTCAGTTTCCCTTGAAAAGCAAACAAAAACATTCCTCATCCCATGGTCTGAAGGAAAAAAAAAAAAAACCAAGAGAAAGCAAGCAAGCAAGGAAGGAGGGCTAAAGTCCCCTGGTTCATTGTTCTGAAATAAAATATGCACAGGAGGCCTTCTTGTTTAGTAAGTGTGAGTGGGTGCTGAGCAGACAAGCTGTCTGAATAGGAACCCTGCTTCCCAACAGTCAAGGACAGTGCACAGTGCGATCCGAGGCACTTCTGTCTCAGTCTTTTCATTTGTAAAATGGGCTTGTTAATCCTGTCTTTCTCTTTGAGTTGTGTGGACTGAGGAAGAAAATTGATATGAAAGTGTTCAGAAATCTGCAGGTGTGAGATGCAATTGTTAACTAATAGTATTATTATCTGTCCTTTCCTGCAGACGTCTAGGCCGTGCATATTAGATTTCTAAGCTTTGAAGGATGTTAGGACAGGAAAGGAAAGCAGTATGGGGGTATGACACAAAGGCAGGGGAGGCTGTTGGAGGGAGGGATGGGACCAGCAGGAAGGGAGCAGGGAAAATAGAGAGGGCAGTGGGCACACATACAGTGAAGTACATGGTGTGCAAGCATGAAGGTGTCATAATGAAGTTTATTATTTTGTACACTAATTAAAAAAATCTGTTTGAGGTCTTATGATTATTCACAATACTTGGAAATCAAACTCACTAGAGCTACCTGTAACTCCCTAATTGCTTTTCACTCTGACGCAGAAAATGAGAGTATGCTTACTCAAGAAAGTCTGAGAGGTACTGGCTTTGAACATCTTTAGAGAAGTGTTTCACAGACAAGTGGAGGACTAGCCTATAATCACCAGGCTTTGATTAAGTCTGTCTTGCTCCTCTTCCTTCTTTTTTTGTGCTAAAGATGGAACCAGACCCTTGGGCATGCCAGGCAGGTACTCTACCATGGAGCAATATCTACAGTCAGCATATATATGTACATGTGTATATAAAAGCATTATATTATATACAATCATAATGATCCCCACTGTGCTACATGCTATAAAGGTCTTAGGAGATGAACATTTGTGATATTGCACATGCTTACACCTATCCTTTAACATCAAATTAGCTCAAGCATATGCTCCTATGACAGTGTTACCGTCAGGATGGAGATAAACTCTCCTACAGGGCACGCTCTTGTTAAAGGTGAGTGTGGTAGTTCACCCAGCTGTTTGAAGCTGGACTGCAAAGTGATAATGAGAAAATGCAGTTAAGTAAAACCATGTGATGACCTGGTCGGCTCCCCGGGTCCCTCTCCCACCAATAAGAATACTTTTCAGCCTTTGAAGTAGAGCAGCAAATAGATAATTACCTGGTGGTTCTTCAAAATCAGAAATTTCCCCTCTTGCACTAACTTTTGCTTTTAACCACTAATTATTCTGTAACGGTGCGCTAAGAAAGGAAAAGCCGGCTTTAGGAGCATAGCTGCTGACACACTAAAGACATCTAGGCACATCTTTACGACGTGAGGCTTCAAACATTCAAAGATGTTTGAGGCTTCTCTGCAACCTAGCCATCTCTGCTGCTGTCTGAAGAAAGGCTAGGAACGAAAACAGGTAGAATCTTTGTTGTCGATGTCAGACTTCAGACTGAGAATCAAGGCTGTATCTTCAACAGTATGAAGTACATTCCTTTCATTCAGGATGATTTACAACAATTAACCGCAAGTTTACTTAATATTGAGGCTTCACTAGACAGTGAATGCACAAAACTCTTTGCGATTTTTGCCCATAGTGTACTTGCTAAGACAACTGGAGATTAAGTTACCATAGTGATTAACAGGGGGAGAAAAGCTGTGGTCAGAGTGATGGGTGGTAGCCAGGGAGTGGTAGATATGTGGATGTCCTAATTTCTTGTAACAAACCCTCCCTAAGAACGTGACAGCAAATCTGAGCAGGGAAGGAAAAGTGAGAACTGTGCAGGCTCTTGGGCAGAGAAACCGAATGTGCCCAGGGCTGGGGCAAAGATGCTGGGCATATAGTATGCCGAAAGCAACTTAGGCTTACTGAGGCAGCGGGTGAGCATGAATTTGGGGTTGATGATGATGGAGCGATGTGTACAGCCAGAATATGGCAGCTTTCATGGTCCATGTCACAGTCTTTGGCTTTAAACGTATGTGAAGATGACCAGAAGACCATTCTGAAAGACTCACTTTGAGTCTGAGGTAGAAAAGTGTCTTTTGTATATTTTTATATATAAACAGTTTATAAGTGTCCACTTAACTGGGGCCCTTATTGAAGCTTTCTTAACCAGCTGCCGCGCACAGAAGGAAACGACAACAATTTAGAAGCACTCCTTGCACATTACCGTGCTCCCTGAAATAGCTATTGAATGCGGAGAAACTCTGAAAGCCTTCTATAATCATCTACTGTTGAATTGATGATCGGCAGTGCTGCCGAAACTTCCAGAAGCAACTGTGAAATGAGTGCCAATCTTTCGTGTGATAAGAATCACTGGAGTGCTTCTTCAAAGTGCAGAGCACCAGGACCCTCTCCCAGGGATTCAGTTCCAGTCTGTCAGATTCCATGCTTGAAGTAAACATCCCTTGTGAACACTCATGTCATGAGCTGGTGGAATAGGCGCTAAGAGACAGTGCCTTGGAGGCTCAGATTTTGTGGGGGAAGAAAAAAAAACTTTAAAAATTGACAAGTAAATTCTGTATTCTCTGTGAATCGGTCCTTTTCCCTGAGTGTCAAGTAGGTACTTTCAGGTGACAAAGACATTTTCATGTTTGCAGGGGGAAGACTATATTTGCTCCTTCTATTATATAGGGAGGGACAAGTTGGGAGTCCTTGGTGACATACAGGCTTTACACGGAGAGAATAATGGATCCAGGGCTTTGGAATCAGGTTGTCTGTGCTGAGACCCTAACACTTCCACTCTTGTGCAATCCTGGCCAAGCTGCTTAATTCAGCTTCCTCATTAGCCTGATGTTGTGTTAGGGTTTCTATCGCTGCGATAAAACACCATGACCCAAAGCATCATGGGGAGGAAAGGGTTTATCTCAGCTTACAGCTTATTACGTCCACCACTGAGGGAACACAGGCCAGGGACTCAGGGCAGAAATCTGGAGGCAGGAACTGAAACTGAAGCCGCGGAGGAGTGCTGCTTGCTGGTTTGCTCGCTCCACCTGCTTTCTTACACCATCCAGGACCACCCACTCCTTGCCAGACTGGCCCACCCACGTCAATCATCCATCAAGAAAATGTTCCACAGGCTTGATCATAGGCCAAGCGGGTGGGGACCTTTTCTCAATTGAGGGTCCCTCTTCCGAAATGACGCTAGTCTGTGTCAAGTTGACATAAAAACTTGCTGGCACAGATGGTGACTATAACATTTCCTACTTCAGAGGGAGGCTGGGAGGAGCTAATGAGTCAATACACGTGGTTTTATAGTGCTGCCTGCCGCTTGCTGACGACACACATGATGCCTACTGTATTAGCTACCTCCTAGCCATTGCAACCAAAATTCCAGAGTACAACGTCATGTGCAGAATTCTCATCTTGGGTCACAGTTTCAGAAGCGTCAGTTCGTCATGGCACTGAGGGTGTGGGAGAGAGGGAATTTTGTCAAGTCAGTCAGCTAGCAGTGTGTGTGTGTCGGGGGGCAGGTATTACAATGCCACTGGCTTTACTTTATTTTGACCTCAGCTCCTGGGTTCTTTCTTTTTTTTTTTTTTTTTTTTTTGCAGGTCCCCTGTGACAGTTCAAATAAGAATGGCCCCCCAAACCTCAGCTATTCGAATGCTTAGTCACTTGTTGGTAGGACTGTTTTGGGAAGGACTAGGAGGTGTGGTCTTGTTGGAAGAGGTGTGTCACTGGGGGGTGGCCTTTCTAGTTTCAAAAGCCCATGCTGGGTAAGGTCTCATTCTTTGCCTCCAACTTTTGGATACAGTTGTAAACCCTCAGCTACTGCTCCAGAGCCATGCCTGCCTATCTGCTGCCAAACTGACTCCCTGCTGTGATGGCCATGGACTCACCCCCTGAAACTGTAAGCAAGCCCCCATTCAATGCTTTCTTTTATAAGTTGCCTTGGCTGTGGTGTCTCTTAATAGCAATAGAAAAGTGACTAAGACATTCCCAGCACATTCAGGATGAATATTTCTCCCTCAGTCCTCTCTGAAAGTGCCCTCCCAGACATACAGTGGTGATTCTTAATCCAGATAAGTAAACACTGAAACTTTAGCTGTGATGCTTCCATTTCCACATATCACTTCCTCTAAGGGGTGGAAGGGGTAAGGCCATGCTCCTCTGGTGCGGGAGAATTGTCTGTATTCTGTCAATCATATTTTAAATAAATGCTGATTGGCCAGGCAGGAAGTATAGGTGGGAAAACCAGACAGGAAGTAGAGGTGGAGCAAAGAGAACGGGAGTATTTTGGGAAGCAGGAAGCTTCCTCCGCCATTCCAGCCCAGACCACAGAGAAGCAAGATGTAACCTGGCCACACTGGAAAAGATATTGAGTCACATGGCTAACACAGACAAGAATTATGGATTACTGTAAAATGTAAGAATTAGTTAATAAGAAGACTGAGCTAATGGGCCAATCAGTTTATAATCTTATGGAGCCCTGTGTGTGATTTTCCTTGGGGCTTGCCAGCTGCGGGGTACTGGGTGGGACAGATACCCCAACAAGCAAGCCAGCCCTCATGTCAGTTTATAAGTAATGCAGACTCTCTGTGTGATTTTTTTGGGGCTTGCCAGTTGTGGAGTACTAGACGGGACAGATACCCTAATAAGCAAGCCAGCCCTCATGCTACAGAATGGCACCCACGTGGATAACTGAATCCACAGAAAGCCTGAGAAAGCTTGGGAAAGAATAGAGTAA